CCTCCTGCGCTGTCCCTCCACCCTCCCAAGCATGATGTCCCTCTCCAAGGACCCGTCCCTCCTGGCAACATGTCCAAAGTATGTCAGACGAAGCCCCAGAATCCTTGCCTCCAAGGAGCAGCTTGGTTTAATCCTCTCCAAGATGAATCTGTTTGTTTTCCTGGCAGTCCATGGTACATTCAGTACTCTTCTCCAGCACCACAGCTCAAAAGCATCCACTCTCCTTCTGTCCTCCCTAGTCATTGTCCAACTCTCTGATGCATAACAAGCGATTGCAAAGACTATGGCCTGTATCAGGCGCACCTTAGTCTCCAGAGAGACACTGTTGCTCCTGAGTACCTTAGAGAGGTCCCTAACAGCAGACTTTCCCATCGTGATACGCTTTTTGATTTCCTGGCTGCTGGTGCCAAGAGTGTTGACTGTGAAGCCGAGCAAACTGAAGCTGTGAACACTCTCAATCTCTTCGCCATCCATCCTGATGCTGCCAATTGGTCCAGTGTTGAGAATCTTTGTCTTCTTGACATTGAGCCTCAGTCCATACTGAAGGCTGCAGTCCTTGACCCTTCGCAGCAAGTGCATGAGGTCCTCCTCAGTTTCAGCAAGCAGGGTTGTGTCATCTGCATCACGCAGATTGTTAATAGATCTTCCACCAATCCTGATGCCACAATTCTCCTCATAGAGCCCAGCCTCTCGGATAATCTGCTCTGCATACATGTTGAAAAGGTGTGGAGACAGGATGCATCCCTGGCGTACACCCTTCCCAATTTTGAACCATGCAGTGTTACCCTGCTCTGTTCTGACTACTGCCTCTTGGTCCAAGCATAGGTTTCGCTTTAGCACAAGCAGACAATATTCTTCTAGTAGTCATAGGATTTGTGAAGGCCTGTTATTTCAGAGCTGGATGGCCAGTCCTGCTTCTTAGTGTAGCAGCTCTACCGAAGCCTGTGCACCAAGTGGACCCTGCAAGTATTTGAAATACCAGTGGAATAGCTTCCAGCATCACAACAACATGCAAGAAACCACAGTAGGCAAACTGACAGAGTTGGGGTGGGAGATTCTCAGTAAGATGGACACTGTGAATGCAACAATAGGCGTGAACATAATGGAGATTGTTACAGGATAGTGCAAGGCTCTACTCTGTCATTCACAGGGTCACCATGAGGCCAACTCAACAGCATCTAACAGCAGCAGCAGCTGCATACTAGACCTAGATCTCTGGGGGTATTGAGTGTTACATGTTGCAATCCTAACCAAATAGGCAGAGGCTCAAATTGACCAACTGCCCCATGGGAGAAGACAGGTAATCTCCTCCCACAAAGATTTACAGTGGAAACTTGATAGGGTACAGCCAGGAGTTGAAATCAACAGAAATATATACCGAACACTAAGTACCTCCAATGTCTCAATCCACTCTACTCTTATTTGAGAGGTACAGACTTCTATTCTCATCTTACAGATGAGGAGGGATATGAGGCCTGTTCAAAGCCAAACAGCTAAAAAGAACTGGCAGTGATTATTATTTGTTGCTTTTGTTATGTGTCACTGTGACCCTATAAACAATGGCTTTGAACCTTGCCCTATTCTGAGCCAACCTTAGCATCTCTGACCCTTTTGCCACAAACATTGTGTCATCTAGGGTTGTCTCCTCCTGCGCTGACCCTCCACCCTTCCAAGAATGATGTCCTTCTCCAAGGACGGGTCCCTCCTGACAACATGCCCATAGTTTGTGAGACAAAGCTTCAAACCCTTGCATCTAAGAAGCAACCTGATTTCAACCTCTCCAGGATAGACTTCTTTGTCCTCTTGGCAGTATTTCTGTTTTATTGTTGTTATGTGCTGTCAAGTTGATTGCCGACTCATAGTGACCTGCTATACAACAGCTCTGAAGCCTGCCCCGTCATGAACCAGTTTCATTGATTCTGACACACCAAGCCCTACTGCCCCAGTTACTGTATCAATCCATCTCATCTGGGGTCTTCCTCTCCTGTACTCTCCCTCCGTCCTTCCTAGCATCATGTGCTTCTCTAACGATCAATCCCTCCTGGCCACATGCCCAAAATATGTGAGACAGACCTTTAAAATCGTAGCCTCCAAGGAGATATTTGGTTTTGCCCTCTCCAAGACAAACTTGTCTGTTCTCTTGGCAGTATTTCTGTTTAGGCCTGCTTAATTCAAAAGCCCACGTATACATTCTGACTGACTTTGTATTTCAATTTCAGGACACATGGGCTAATGATTATACCCAGGATGCTGAACAAATAACGCTGGGACAACAAGATCACCTTAGCATGGTTAGCAGCAATACAATCCAAGCAAAGATTTCCAAAAAAAAAAGGGAAAAACCATAGTGTCAGAGAAGGGACAAGGAAAACTAACCTTTTCCTTGTAAGAAAGAAAGACCAAGAGGTGAGAGGTATAGGCTAGCCATTGGCAACTTTTAAGAAAATCCCACAGTTTGGTGCCTTTCCAGCTGGCTTTGAAAAGGGCTCCTTCCCATCCTGGATTCTAGCACTCCCTTCCTCCTACCCCATCACTCCAAGAACTAACTTCCTCCCTTATCTGACTGGCAAGAAATCCCAGCTAAGGTGTTAGCTGACAACAGCTTACCACATCACACTTCCTTGCACTTCTATCTGAATAAGAAATTCTTAAAGACAAAAGCCCTGAGAATCCAAGAGAGTGAATGAATTTCTAATGGCAAGCTGATAGACATATACTGCAGAGGTCCCTGACATCACCACCCAAGAAAACCCAAAGCAGTAGCCACCACCTTACTAAAATAACAGCTGACAGTCATTTGAACATCCATTTATCATGCTGCGCCAACAAGAGCTTTATACATATAATTACATTTAATCTATATTAAAAATGTTAAGACGGAGACACCAAACTTGCTTTACAGGTGAGGAAACATTTAATAACCTGACAAATAAGTGGCAAAATGGAGTTTACCCAAAGCTTCCACTGAGAAGGCTCACTTCCTCCCTCCTCACCTCTTTGAAGGGCAGTACCACATGAAGCATCCTCATTCCTCCTCAGATGTGACATCCCAGGGAGGGAGGACAGCTCTGGATAGTACTCTGATAAGTACAGCCAACCAGTCCTGGTGGCTATCAACCTATACAATCGCCTTAGGGGAGGACAGTTCCAGGTCACCAGGAGCACTTGCCTGAACTCCAAGTTCTGAAGAATGGATCATAAGCCTCTTCCCTCCCCCCACACGTTTCCCTTGTTATGAAGGTGGCTGGCTGCATAATTTGGATTTTAAATGCCATCAGGGCAGCAATTTTTATGGTATGAGAGAAAAGATGCTTCCACTCCTACTTGTGCTTAGCACATGATGAAAGATTATGACAAATGGATACAGCTTAGGAACAGACATAAGGATAAAAGCAGCTTCTGTTGATGAAAGTCAGTATTAACATTTTTTTTCAGAGACTAGTCTCAATAGAGCTAATATAAATGGGCCAGAATAATTATGGCTCTGAAAGCTCATCTATTTAGTTGGACTATTATCCAAAAGGGACTTACTAACACACGGTCCTTAAGTAAATTCATCAGCACGCTTTTGTTAATTGTGCATCTGCTAACGTTCATGATGGGGAGCACAAAGTTCCTCACGAGCTGGAGGTTAGGGAGGGGACACAGCCTTGATCTTCTCTTAAGACTCTTGAGGTTTTTCTGGGTCATCCCACAGATAGGCCATGCCAGAGACTGCCTCAATCTCATGCTGTGACCAGTCCCACCACTGAGGCCACGAGGATCATCTCTTTCTCAGTGCCCTTGAAGACGTGGCCAAAGAAAAAAAGGGCACCAACAGGATCTTAGCCAGAGAACATTAAAAGCTCTAAAAGGATTCGTGACTCCTAACTGTACCTTGTCTCCGTTCTCTCCTGCTCCACAAAGCAGGGAGAAAAGCAGAGAGAAAACAAATGACTTCAGAGGAAAGGTGGAAGCTTGCCACAAGCCAGAGGTGAACCTCAGCTGAGCTGGGTTGTTATTAAATTCATCACAATTGTCATTTGCACTTCAAGGGCCTCCTGCTCCAAAGCCTCCAGCGCTTTATCCAACATTTAGCAAGGGCCCTGGGGGTTGAGGAAGGTGGCTGGGAGGAGGGTGAGACTGTCAGAGTACTGACAGCCAGAGCTTCTCAAGGGAGGGAAAACAGAGGGCATGGTCCTGGTCAAGGGCAGGCTGTTTCTGGGACAAGCTGGGGAAACAGGTCTAGGAACCTCAGTATGTACAGCTAGGCCAAGTGCAGGGCCTTCTAGAACATTCTGAGAAACGAAGTTTGGGTTAATCAAGAGAAGCCTGGAAAGAACAAAGAGAAAAGGGCAGAGGAGGAGGAAACAGAAACAGAGGAAATACAAAAAGAGGGGAGCAGAGGAGAAGCAGAGGCTTGCTTGAGATTAGTACTTGCCATGAAAGTACTAGGCTCTTGAGGAGAATCCTGAACTCCTCAGTTGTGCCATAAACTGGCTGACCAATTTTGGCCAAGTTTGTCCTTGAATCCTGATCTCCACCTCTGACAAGAATAAGGACTGCTTCATTTGAAAGGTTTGTTGGGAGGATTAACTGTGTGTATATACAAACAAATACATGTGTGTATATACACACACTCGTAATATGTTGTTGTTGTTGTTAAATGCCATTGAATCATAGATGACTCATAGCGACCCTATGAATGAAAGACCTGAACACTTGTATAACTTTCATCATTTCTCTGAGTTCACAGAGTTTCTGGAGGCACGCTATTTTCAGAAGTGGATGCCACTCCTGCATATAGTGCTTGGTATATGACTAAGCTATTGCTGTTGATAATGATAACCCAGCATCATGATAAATCAGGAAACCATGAGAAACTAGACCATTTTGTCACATTCCAAACACTCACCACAGGGGGCTGTGAAATTACCACCCTGCACCTCCAGCAGCCTGGTAACACCAAGCTGTTCTATGATCCCTCTAGAAAACCCTCCCACTTGTACTGTGATACTTACTGGGTTCTGATGACTGAGAGAGAAGGTAAAGAAGGCCAGTATCAACCCGAGCAACATGCCCAGAGGAGCCATCTTGAAAAAAGGCAGGGCTGGGGAGCCAGAGTTAAAAACCTGAGGGGTGCAAATACAGAAAACAGAGAATAAATGGAAAGGTGATGCCTGTTTCCAACCCACTCCCCCATAATGATTCTCACTATGTCCCCCATTTGACAGATATAAAGATTTAGTGCAGAAAGGTATCAAAAGTCTTCTACCACAGGAATAGAAGTCTCTATCTTCTATAAAGAATACAGCTATCTGAAGAGGTGCATGCCCTGATGGGAACTGTACAGCCAACCAGATGTGCTATGAGTTATAACCATCCTACTCATTCCTTCCTCATCATCAACTTGTTAATTTGGGGAAAGAAGTGGTGATCACATTGGGGAGAAACATACTAACCAACTGATCTGAGTATAAACAGACACGGAACCAATCCACATAACCTTTTCTAATAGTACACTTTTAAACAATACAGACTTGTCACGCTTGACAACATATGCCATCAGGTTCCCCTATACCAGTTACATTCAATATTCCCAAGCTGCAGAGCTCTTCACATCACTTATCAGTCTGTCATATATATCTGGAACCATGGTAGAAGTTTCCAGTAGGGGTAGACAAATTTAGTAAGTATTCCCTGATGATGCCAGATGTTGGGTCAAGAAGAGACTCTACATGCACAGTTGATTTGAAAACTCACTCTAGTAGCTATTCAAACTAAAATGCCACAAGGAATTTGTTTAAATAACTCTATTCATAAAAGGAACCATGATGTATGAAGTTTTGGGCTACTAACAGGAACTTTGGTGGTTTGTACCAACCAGTTGCTATAAAGGAGAAAGATGGGCAATTTCCTTCCTTACAAAGATTTACAAGATCCCAATGGAAAATCACCAAAATCAAAATCAAAATCAGCAGCAATGGGTTTGGTATTTTATTTGGCTCATTAAAGTAATTGGAATTCATTTGCTCAGAGTTTTATAACCTATGCTAAAGATCACATGGTATTTATTCTGCATTTACAATTTTACAAAAACTAACAACATGACAGTGTTCCAGCCTGATGTAAAACGGTGAGAGAAGCAGCATCAAAATCTAACTTTGGAGAATATAATGGGAATCAAGATCAGTCCAAGGCTTAGCTCTATGAGGTGGAGGTCAGGCATACCTCCAGCCTCCAACCTTTACCAGTTGTGACTCCAGTGTCCCTCCCAAGTACTCTCTATTTCTCTTCTGGGTTTGTCAATCCACTGCAATGGTCACACACAACTCATAGAGCACAAGTAAATGGGATACAACTTGGAATCTAAAAACAGTCTGACAAGAATGAAGGCAGCTATATCTGACCTCTACTAACTCCACAGGGGCTAATATTCCTCATTTACAATATCAATAGAGCAAAACCAATTCTTTTGAAGTCAGATACGCCCTCATATTCTTACATTCCCCTCTATCATTTCTAACATCAAGCACCCTTCCCAGGGTTCTCACTGCTCTACAACTGGGCCCATGAATCTGTTATCATAGTCACACAGAGTTCCCAGACCATACTCATGTGATGAGGTTTACCTGGGAAGTTTTAAAGTTAACATGTAGGAAACAGGATATCATTCTCCAGTTAATAATATGTAGGAAGTAGGATACAATTCTGTAGTGAGAACACTGGCCTTGACTAGAGTGACACCGGTCACTGGTTCTCTGACCGTGAGTCTCACAGCTTTGAATCAGGGTTACGAAGCTATCATAGTCCTACCAATTACAGGATCTTCTCCAGCCCTCCTGTAAGCCGGGGCAAAGGCCCTCAGCTCTGACTCTGTGGGGCGGCAGTTCCAGCTCAGCTCTGTCTCACATGGCTCTCTGCTGCTGCTGCTGCTGCTGCTGCTGTCTCACTCAGGAATCTCTGGCTCAAATGAGCACATCACACACTCCCCTTCTCTTCTTGATGGTAAGGAGACTCCCTCAAATCTGCCTCTGAAGTTACTCAATTGAAGCCTGATGGGATGGCAAGACTGACAGGTTCCTTCATTAGTACTCTACATACTCTTTTTAGGGACCTGAGTGTGAGGTAGTCATGCTGACAACCGAAAGGCACACAGTTCAAATCAACCAGCTGCTCTGTGGAAGAAAAATGGACAATTTTCTACCATATAATTTACTACCTCTAAAAACCCACCATAGTCAGCTATGTTCCAACCTGTGGGTACACAACATACGCTAATTGCATGTTCCCACCCAAAAGGTGCTATTTCCCTCATCCATATTATTAGAATGGTTTCACCAGACATATGGTTAAAGTTAAAGCCAATGGCTTGGAAAGCTAGACTGAACAATCAACCTACTATACCACAAGCATCAACTATGATCAGAAAACAAGTACCCAGAGTCTTCCTTATTCAGTGCAGAACAGGTCTCTCAGCTCAGGTCTCTGGATCCTAAGAACAGACTCCTGTCAGCCTCCTGATCTTGGTCCTTGTCTGTCAGCATCAATTCTGCAGCAGGATCCCTTCCAGGCCTGTTAGCACTGACTCCTCCACAGGGCCTGTCCCAGGCCCATCACTACCTACAGTTCTTGGTTCTTTCAGTATTCTGTCTCTCTTTCTCTTGTCTTTCCTCCATCCGCACCTTCCTGTTGCTTTCCATCTCTTAAAGTCTTGGGGACGGGGGTGGGGGGTGGCTAGCTACTTCCATCTACAAACTCTTCAAATGTGTCACAGTACTGCCCTCTCACTAGACCCATGAACTGACCAATTAACTTAATAGGCCAGAGCCCATGTTGCAATTTTTATAATGTCATGGGGTGTGATCATGGCCAGGTACATTATAGTTCTGCAATCACAGCTACACGATTAAAAGCATAGACTTTAAGGTCAAACAGGTTTACATATGAGTCCCAGAGCCATCAATGCCTACATGGGTGACATTATTAATTATTAATAATCTCTCTATTCCTCTTCCACTGTTCTGATTGACAGCACTACGATAGATGGTGAAGAGATTGAGATTGTTAACAGCTTTAGTTTGCTTGGCTCCACAATCAAAACTCTTGGTACCAGCAGCCAGGAATCAAAAGATTAATTACATTGGGAAAGGTTACTGTCAGGGACCTCTCCAAAATACTAAAGAGCAATGATGCCAGTCTGGAGACTAAGGTACACCTGATCCAGGCCATAGTCTTTTCAATTGCTTGCTATGCATCAGAGAGCTGGACAATGACTAAGAATAATACAAAGAGTATTGATGCCTTTGAGCTGTGGTACTGAAGAAGAGTGTTGAATACACCATGGATTGCCAGGAGAACAAACAGATTCATCCTGGAGAGGGTGAAATCAGGATGCTCTTTGGAGACAAGGATTCTGAGGCTTTGCCTGACATACTTTGGGCATGTTAAAAGGGATATCATGCTTGGAAGGGTGGAGGGACAGAGAAAGAAAGGAAGACCCTCAATGAGATAGATTGGTTCAGTAACTGGGGCAATGAGGGTAGGAGTGTGGGAGACAGTCAAGTACAGGATAGAGCAGGGTTCAGGACTATTGTACCTATGTTCACTATGAGCAACTTGATGGCACATGACAGTAAATGTTCCTTCATCTATTTAGAAAAATAAGGATGGGGGACCTCTTACAGGGTTACTGCATCATATTTCTTTCTCATACTAAATGTAGAATACCTACTACTTACTGGGGCTCATTCTCTCCAGTTTCATCTTCCACAAAAAAAAGAAAACAACCAAGATTTCAATAAAGACTGACCTCACAGAGGTAGTGGCAAGTGCAAACATGATCATATGCTGAAAGCACAAAGTCTTACACAAGCAACAAGTCAGTCTCAACACAACCACTGTCATAAGATAGTTACAATGCAGGATGGGAGGGGGGTGAAGAAAATGGGAAAGATCTGGTGTGAAAAACCATTTTTTGAACTTTGTAAATAAATCAGTATGATTTTTTAAAAAAAATAAAAACAAAGATTAAAACACAACAAAACAAAAATGTAGGATGAGAGCTTGTCATCACATTCTACTCACACATCTCAAAGCCAGTACTATAATTCTCATCAGAATAAGAAAGGCTGTTGTTGTTATTGTTGTTGTTGTTGTTGTGTGCCATCGAGTCATTTGCAACTCATAGCGACTCTATGTACAACAGCCCTAAACTCTGCTCTATCCTGTGCCAATCACACTGTCTCTGACACACCCATCCTGATTACCCCAGTCACTGAATCAATCCACCTCATAGAGGACCTTCCCCTCTTGCGCCGTCCCTCCACCCTCCCAAGCATGATGTCCCTCTCTAAGGACCTGTGCCTCCTTGCAACGTGCCCAAAGTATGTCATATGATGCCCCAGAATCCTTGCCTCCAAGGAGTAGCTTGGTTTAATCCTCTTCAGGATGAATCTGTTTGTTTTCTTGGCAGTCCATGGAACATTCAATACTCTTCTCCAGCACCACAGCTCAAAGGCATCAATTCTCCTTCTATCCTCCCTAGTCATTGTCCAATTTTCTGATGCATAACAAGTGATTGCAAAGACCATGGCCTGTATCAGGTGCACCTTAGTCTCCAGAGAGACACTGTTGCTCTTGAGTACTTTAGAGAGGTCCCTAACAGTAGACTTTTCCATTGCAATATGTTTTTTTATCTCCTGACTGCTGGTGCCAAGAGTGTTGACCGTGGAGCCAAGCAAACTGAAACTGTGAAGAATCTCAATCTCTTCGCCATCCATCCTGATGCTACCAATTGGTCCAGTGGTGAGAAAACACCAATTTAGAACAAGAGCAAATGACCATCTCCCAGAGTTCTAGTAAAAGCACAATTAGTAAGTTCAGGATAGGTCAAAAAGGAAAAGGAATAGCTCCCTACTTCAACACAAAGTTCCAAGACCAGAGTCCCAGGAAATTAAAATTCAGCTCAAATGGCCTAGAATACAAAAGCTATGGTTAAATGGTTCATGCCCAACCAGGAGAGACTGATCTCAGCTCTTGAGAGTGGACCTAGTTTCCCGGCTCCTTGTATGATTTCCTTTCTTTTGACTCTACTCCAGGTTTCTGGGACACAATTGA